AGCGGGGTCAGCGTGCTGGGGGCGGCGTACGCGCTGACGCGGGCGTCGCGGCCGGGCAGCGCCGGCGGCGTCAACGCCAAGAACGCCTCCGGCACGGGCGACGCGCAGACGCCGCGCCAGTTCCTATACCAGGCCGCCAACTGCCGCGTCTGGTACACGCCGCGGTCAGTCATGGACCCGGACGTGAACTGGAAGACAGCCGTGGATGCGACCTGGGGCGACTCGGACGGACTCTGCGTCGACAACAGCATCGTGCCGCTCGACGAGACGGCCGGCCCGCAGCCCATGGACCCGCTGTTCCAGCTCAGCGTCGAGCGCAAGGCGGCCGATGCTGCTGGGAGCCGGGCTTCTTGGGCTACGGGCGTCGTGGCCGTGGGTGCAGCGCTAGCAGTTTTGGTTATTTAGTAGGGGTTAGTTGGTGTATATTTTGAGATTCCCACTGTATAATTCCTTGTCTCTAATCACATACCAACGGCCCTATTGCTAATGACACACTGTTATCACATGCTGCATCGGTGGGTAACATTAGACTTTTCTCATGGGCTACCCTGGGAATCTCTCTGCACGTACTGTGCTGCCACCTCGCCACGTGCGTGCAGTCCAAATGTTTGGGATCATGAAGCACAAGACAACTAGACAGCTGCTGGGGAAGTCTGTGGCGCTGACTCTGTGTGCACAAATTCAGGCACCCAGGCTGCCTCATGTCTGGCAATCTTGTTGCCTGCCGATCCCTCGAGACCAGCCGCCTCCGAGCACAACCACGTTGGAGCGGCACATGCGATTCGCGTCGCTTTATGGTCCAACAAGTGCTGGGCGCTCGCCAATCGACCTCGACTGTCCTCTGGTCGTTTCAACCAAACCCCGCTAGTAGATGCAGAAGGTAAACCTTCCCCACGATGTTCCATCCCTTTCAGTCTCAGCCTCAATAATTAGCTCAATATCGGGAAACCCCGAGAAACCAGCCCGAACAACCTAGTTCAGGCGACGGTTTCCCCTAAGACAGGCCCTCGCTTGGGCAACCGACGCTTGGGAACACCCGAGCTCCGTGGCTGCGGGACGGTACCCCTGGTGGGAGCTAGAGGACGGGCTATGGTTTCGTCACATGTCGTCTTGCCCCCACCGTCGTCGCGATAAACGACCAAACTTTGTTTTGGCGGGGGCGCGAAACCCCAAGCGCCAGATCGGGCGGCGCTACTGCGCCCGTTGGTCCAGGGCCGGACCAAAGGAGCTAGTGAGGTGCCGATCTGGCCAGCCCAAGAGAACGAGGGGAAGAATGGTTGGATTATTGTCGCAGCCAGCGCAATCGCATGATGCATCCGCGTCCTGCTGCTATCTGTTTTTCACAAGCACGACAAAGTTTTGGGCGTGGCGAATCAACCCAGCTCGAGTCCGCTAGCACTGCGGCTGACCTTTTCCGAACATCCAGTGCATCCTTTTCCACGTGGCCGGCCGAACGTCGATCGGAAGGATCGGTTACAGCTGGTGGTGGTGGTGATGGTGGTGGTGGTGGTGGTGGTGGTGGTGGTGCGTCAAACCATGCATGCGACGCCATAATTCAACGAGAGTCCCTCAACAGAACCGCAACTTGCAGTGGAGCGATGCAAAAATCGAAAAGGTAAGGATGTCCTGTCTGTCACTTGCGCCAAGACATGCCGGACTCATGACGAGCCGTCTCTGCGCAAGCCTGCCGTCCAGAGACTTGGCGGAGGGACGAAATCCGCACCCGGGGACACGGTTAGTCGCCCCAGGAATATGCCCTTCCTGGGCTACGGGCAGGCCTTGGCCTTTGGGGCTGTGGTGGTGGGCACCGGATATTGACTTTCATTTGCAAGCGGTTTGTTCAATTTAACGGCCATCTGGTTACGCGAAGGGTACGAACGTGTATCTATGGGGGAAGCGGCCTCGGACAAGGCCCCACTTCTGATGTCCGAGGTCTGCTTGCTGCCACCCAAGAAGAAGGAGAACAAAAAACAAAAACAAAAAAACAAGATTGTCCCTTGCGATAGCGCAAGACTCCGTTGTCGACATGAATCTAGTGTGTGTGGAGCAGTCAGGACAGACTAAGCCCCTCGGGCGGAAGGATGTTGGTGACCCCCAGTCGCCGCCACCAGCAGTCTGTTCTCCCTTTTATTTCCCTTTTTTTTCTTTCTTGGAAGGCGGGCATGGAGTCGACCACTCGGGTCGTGGGGACGACACCTCCCACCCCTCACGACGCCTGTTGCTCCTGTGGCTTGCGTTGGCACCACGTGGCCCAGCGCAAGGAATCTTGGCGAGATCTCTTGTCGCGCGCCCAAAGGGGACCAAGAAGGGGGACCAAGGGAGGAGTATCAACGGCGCCAGCCCGTCGTCCCCAAACGTGTTGGCTGGCATGGATGCTTCGTCCTCGCCAGGCCGGTCTTCCTGCCAAGGGGCGAAGGGCACATGGCGTCGGCGATGATGGCTGGATGAAGGCGAGGGCTACTTAACCGGGAGCGGGTTGCATTTAACCTGCATGTCAGCAGGGCCTGCAGCACCCTGTCAGGAGAAGGACAGCCAAGATATTGCTCAGCAAAGAAAAATACGGCAGGCTTTCTCCAATTTCCATGGGACCCCCGCCAAGCACACAGATTCGGGGCCGCCACATCCACTCGGTCAAAAAAAAAAATCCCATGGGGTAAATCAAAGTGGGGAGGGGCCTGGAATGAGGAGGGCGGATCCGCAGGCCAGGGTTGGTGTCGCTTGTCCGGTTGTTGCTGCCGTGTTGGGCAGTGGCCACTTGGCACTGCGTCTGGAAGCGAGCGGTGGGTGGGAAAATGCGAAAAGAGATCTGGACAAGCCTGCCCAGCGTCTTGTCCCATCTTGTGCTGGACGGTTTCGCGGGGGTCACGCTTTGGGGATGCGCGTTGGCAAAGTTGGCAATCGACGACACCAAACCAGACCAGAGTAGCGAAAACCAACGACACCAACCCCGTGAATCGATATTCAGGCCTCTCCGCTAAATAAAAACAGCCCTAATGCATGTTCTAGCCCGCCGTCCGGTGGCGTCCCGGCAGTCCAGTAACCCCCAGCCAATTCAGCCCTTTCCACTGGTGCGGAACCCGAGGTCAACCCTCTGTAGTAAAGGTACCCGGACAGAAGGACCGAGTGATGGCCTTGGCGCATAAGCGTGCGGCGACAGTGCCAGCGTCACCGCCCCTTGTTGGCTATTGACCTCCGTCTCTTGCTTGCTGTGTTCTCCGAGATGAAGGGGACCTGAAGGGGACCTGAAGGGAAGGCACAGAAATATGCACAGAAACGGTTCAAGCCCCGACGCCCTGACCCGAAGCCCGTCCCGTGGCCGGCCATTCTCTTCCTCTACAGCGCGCGTCCCGGCCCTCACGCCGCCTCTATCCTGATGTCAAATATGTACTGCATGCCGCGACAGGCTAATTCCAGGGGACCAGAGGCGCGTGCTGGCTACTGGCCCAGAACCCCAGCTGCAACACCGGTTGGCTGCTCAGGTTCCTAACTACCAGCGACCACGGCTCCTTCGTCCTGCGTGTCAGCGGCGTGTGCGCGGTTCGGGGGGCCAAGGGAAAAACCAGGGGCAGAGGTGTGTTGATCCTTTCCCACTTTCGCTGCTTGCGTTTTTTCCCCCAGGCTTCCGCTTCGAACGACCGACGTCTCCCTTTTTCCCTTGCGCCTAGCGTCGTGTTGGGGTGGTGAGCAGGCCCAGAGCGGGTCCCCCGGCTGCCCAATGGGGCCGTCCTAACGGGCCTCGAGCCAGGCGACAGGGGTGCCCCAACTCATCATCATTTTCCCGCCTACCCACACACACTCCCTCCCTGTTGGACGCGCAGGTAACCCGCCGGGTCTCGAGGGTTGCTTGTGCATCCCGCCGGCTTGCGAGATTCTCTTTATCTAGACACCTTCCCGCCCTGCCGTTCCATCCGGGGTCCTCGTCTCCTTCCTCCTCCTCATCCCCCTCGTGGCCCATTGCCTCTTCCTCTTCCCTTTTTTTTTTCTTTCCCTCTTCTTCTCTTCTCCCTGCCCCGCCTACATATACTCAGGCGGTGCTTTTCGTTCCTTGGTTCGAAGGAGCAACCATATCCCCTTCACCTGGCTCGTCACCCTTGACTCAGACCTCGCCTTACCGGGCCACCACAGCCGAGGTCCTCTCCCCAGGGCAGGTTTGGTTGACTTCCCGTCAACCAAACAAGCAAAGAGCAGAGAAGACATAAACAAGGGACAAGAAGGAACCGCAAAAATGGGCCACACGTCGGATCTCTCGTCGGATCACGAGATCAAAAAGGGTGCCACCAGCCAGACCCCCAGCGTCCGCGTCGAGAGAGATGGCGAGAAGGCAACCCAGGACCAGGTCGACTACCGGTCTGGGGACCCAGAGCAGGCCACCGGGCCCTGGGATGCCGCGGCCACCAAGAAGCTGATCCGGCGCATCGACCTGCACCTGATCCCCTTTCTTGCGTGAGTTTCTACACCTAGAAAGAAGACGCGATCTTTTGATACCGTCGCTAACATGCCTGGTCAGCTGTCTGTACCTGCTCTCCTTCCTCGACCGCACCAACATCGGCAACGCGCGCCTCGACACGCTCGAAGCCGACCTCAAGCTGGACCCGGCGCGCCTGCAGTACAACGATGCCCTGTCCATCTTCTTCCCCTTCTACGTCGCCGCCGAGATCCCGTCCAATATGGCCATGAAGCGCTGGCGGCCCTCCATTTGGATCCCCTCCATCATGGTCGCCTGGGCCATCTGCACCACCCTGCTTGGCATCGTGCACAACTACGCCGGTCTCATGGTCTGCCGCGCCGCTCTAGGCATCGCCGAGGGTGGTCTGTTCCCGGGCATCACCTACTAGTAAGCCCTTGTCATGCCGCCCGCCGTTCTAGCCATCTTTCTGTTTTGCTAACGCCTCCCAGCATCACCATGTGGTACCGCCGCCATGAGTGCGGTCTGCGCATGGCCATCTTCTTCTCCGCCGCCACGTGCGCCGGTGCCTTTGGTGGTCTCCTGGCCCGTGGCATCCTGGAGATGAGGGGGGTCGGTGGTCTCTCGGGCTGGCAGTGGATCTTTATCCTCGAGGGCATCCTGACCTTTGCTGTCGGTGAGTAACTGTCAAGCAAAAGTACACGCACAAAGACGGCAGTGCTAACGCGTCCTGTCCACAGCCCTTCTGGCCTACAAGGTCATGTACGACTACCCCGACTCGGCCAAATTCCTCTCGGACGCCGAGAAGAAGGAGGTCACGGACCGCCTCAAGCTGGACCGCTCGTCCCTGGCCGACGAGTTCGACATGCGCTACTTCTGGGACGCCATCAAGGACTGGAAGATCTGGGTCCACATGGTCATCACCATCGGCATCTACACCGGCCTCTACTCGTACTCGCTCTTCCTGCCCACCATCGTCAAGGGCCTCGGCTACAGCGACCCCAAGGTGGCACAGCTCATGACGGTGCCCCCATATGTTGTCGCCTGCTTCTTCTGTATCGCCGCGGGATGGGCCGCCGACCGTCTGGGCCAGCGCGGTCTCTTCATGAGCTTTTTCATCCTCATGGCGTAAGTTGCTTCTGCCCCTCCCCGCAAAAGATTGTTCACCCAACGGCTAACACACCTCCAGTATGGCCGGCCTCGTCATGCTCATAGTCAGCCAGTCCAACAACGTCAAGTACGCCGGCTGCTTCCTCCTCGCGTCGGGCATCTACCCCAACGTGCCGCAGGGCGTGGCCTGGAACGGCAACAACATCGGCGGCTCGCTCAAGCGCGGCGTCGGCATCGCCATGCACGTCGGCTTCGGCAACCTGGGCGGCACCATCTCGGGCTACCTGTACCTGGCGCGCGACGGGCCGCACTACATCTCGGGCCACGCGACCCTGCTCGCCCTCGAGGGCATGGCCCTGGTTCTGTCCATCTTCATGCACGTCTACCTCCGCCGCGAGAACGCGCGCAGGGACGCCCAGTACAAGCCCCCCGCCGAGTACACTGAGGAGGAGCGCGTGGCCGAGCGCCACAGGGGCGACAACGCCTCCTTCTTCCGCTACACCATCTAAAGCGCTGTCTGTTCTAGGATTCGGGAAAATGTGCGGTTGGGATGGATAGGGATGGTATGCAGCATGTCACTCTTGGCTGGGAAGTTTGAAGCAGGATCGAAGAGATTCTCTTCGGGTTTCTCTTTTTTATGGAGCGACTTTTCCTCTGTACCTGTGCATGAGTCTGTTTACGAGTTAGATAAAGCTTAAAGATCAATGATGTGATAATACACTGTAATGTCCAAGCGTTTTGGTATGGTGATGTGGAAATGGCTGGCGATGCAAGTGACATACACACCGAAGGCATTCCAAAGGCATGCTCCTTCGTCAACCACCCCTGACGGGAACGGATCCAAGGACGGATGAGCAGGTGACCATTCTAGGCACTACGTGGTAGACCTCCGTGGAGAGACGTGACTTGTTGGAACAACCCAACTTGATGTTGACCTGGTCCGCCAAACATAGCTCTATCCGTTCCAGCCATTTCCCATCCCAAGGCATGTCCCATGCCACTAGCGACGATACCAGATTCGAGCGGCCATAAAGGGCAAGCATGTAGCCCCAGGCAAGGATCTCACAGAATCGCGCGACCGAAATGGCCAGAAACGAAAATCTGATATCACAAAGGCCCAAGGACGTCATGTCGGACGGACAGGCCGACAGCAGCTGGAGGATGCGAATGGTGCCCAGGTGCCATACAAGCCATCCAGATCAACAGCCCACCTTGACCGGAGATGAGATAAAAAGGCGCACGTATCTGTGGCGGTCCTGGAGTTGAGCGTCACCGGGCACGGCCTGTTGCTGCAACATCCGGCGTGCCTAGTAGGCCGGGCGAGGATGGCGAGAATGACACCACTCGACTAACATTTAACTCCCTTTTCCTACTTGACACCCAAGGCCCTTGGTGTGAAATGGGTCGCATTCAATCCGTGCCTAGAGAATGGCGCTACCAAAACACGTGCGTGCGGCTCTCCGGCTGCTAACCGAGTGACTACCCTCATCCCATCATCTCATACTCAAGAGGTGGCCTGGCAAATGCATGCAGACAAGCCCACAGGCGGTTCTGTGCCAGGGGGGAAGCTGATCGTCAGGTCTTCCTGGTCACATCGTATGCCTCCATCGCACTATCCACACTCTCCCTGACGACACGCGAGGGGCGACGCTCATCCAAGCCATCCGCGAATCAAATATATACATATGTATGTATGTATCTGGAAGGCGTCGACACTCGGACGAGAACTCCACCTAACTCTGCCCATCAGATATGTGCCCGCCATGCTTCAAGGGGCTGTCGACCGGGACACTGGAAACATGTCCTAACCTTGGAAACCCCGTTTTTCAGTGCTAAAGGCTGCCAAGTCGCGACAGTAACATGTCAAAAAACAGGCGCCAGCTGTAGTGTGTTGCTGTCGAGGGAAGAAATTCATGAACCGAATACGAATACGTTTGTGGCAACCAGCGTCTCCGCGTCGGCGCTAGTCCGCGCCTGTGATCTCGAGTTAACGTCTGCTGGCAAAAGAACGTTGTAGGTGTGCTTGAAAGAAAAAGAAGAAAAAGAGATGCCCTGGACGAGCAGTTGACCCCGACCCGATTTGAACGGATAACCTTTTGATCTGGAGTCAAACGCGCTACCGTTGCGCCACGAGGCCCACATGGATGCAGGTTGAGTAGAGGAGCTTCACAAGGGAAGATTCCGCAAGCGAGCCAGAGGAGCTTGGCACCCCAAAGGGTGTTTCCTCTGGTCGGGTTAAAAAGCCAGGACAAACAAACTGGCGCAGAATTGCATGTTTTCTAGTCACTCCCCGAGGTTAAAAAAGCCAATACTCATGCGTCGCGATGACGGGGATGGGCAAAGACCCTGACACGGCCAAGCAGTGAGCGAGTGGCCTGGTTGCTTCCTTGCTTGGTTGCTGGTAGGCCTCGACCGCAAAGCGGCAATAGGCACGCCCTGCCATGGAAAGCCCCGACTGCCAGGGGGATGTGGGTTCGACAAAACAACAGGACACTGCGCGATAATGAAGGCGAAGAAAAAGAAAAAACGGTGATGCCCGGCGGCGGCCTGGCCAGTCCTGTGACCAAGCTGGATGGCCCGCTGGTTGCTTTGCGCGGGGGCTTTTGTGGGGCATACCCGCTGGTGACGGGCGAGGCTAGGACTGGGGCGATGCAAAAAAGACGCCAGTGGTTGTGGTGCGCCCGGCAGGGACATGGTCGCTGTAAAACAAAGATAAATGCTAATCTATAAGGCGCGAAAGCCGCATAAAGCGTGCAAGATTGACAATCTGGGGAATATACGGTGTAGGGGTGGTTATATCTGGCAACATATTGTGTGGGCAGGCAAGCCTTGTAGTTCCCTCCTGGCCCACCCTGTTTAGATTGGGCCTGGCGGGCGCGGCGAGCGCCTGCTGTGCTTGGATGATTGTCAACTCCTGCTGTCACCGGTGGCCCCCCATTGGTGCATCGAGGTTCGCAAGAATCAAGCTGCTTGCTTCAGCTGTCTGCCTGACTGCCTCTGAACGTCAGGACTCTCCCGCACCGCGTGAGCCGCGCCGGGAGGTCTGGCAATTTAAAAGCAAGGCACTCTGGACCGTCGACGTCGCACTACAGGCTGGTCCAATGTCACGACGCCCTCTGCAGCAGCAATTCGACCAAGTCTCTGCGTCGGGGCTGGGGCGCTTGCTCCAGAAGCATATTCGACATGGCCTCGGCCTGCTCAGCTTGGGTGACGAAGACGCGAGAAAGCGGCATCGAGAGCACAAGAGAGTGGAAAAGAAAAGGGCAAGGCCCGAGGACCGACGCATAGTCGACCAGGCCCCGAGAGAGATGGGATATGGTCGGTATCGAGACGGAGGCAAACACGGAAAAGTATGCAGAATTGTTACTCAGCAAAATGGGTGGGTTGCAGTGCGGTACTGGGATTCCAAAGGTCAAATGATTCCAAAGGGCTCGCGCCAATTGGGAGGGGCTGGAAGAAGCGGTTACATGTCCGATGCCGGAAGGAAACCTTTCGCCAATTGACGGGATGGAATCATTCATGTTGATCTGATGGAAGGAAACACAGGCGGCACACCCGTCATCCCCCAGCGACGCATGCGGCCCTGTCACGCAAATTGCCACGGTTGCATCGTGGCCGGCAGTCCTGGTACTTTTTATTCTTCACCTCGTTCTGGAGGACACGAGGACATTTCCGTTACGTGCACGGGGCCAGGGGCTGGCCAGGTTGGAAAAGCCACCGCGCGCATCGTGCGTCGTGCATCAGCCACAGAAAGCAAACCGCAACGACCTTGCGACCTTGGAAATGCGGGAGAGCGGGAAGCAGGCAAGCGAGCCAAGGAAAATCCTGAAACGACGCACAAGTGCCGCTCGACCCGGCTTTTGGCTGGCAGCTGGGGACACGCTCGACAGTGGATGAGTGGACACACTCGCTGTGCTCTTGGGCAGCGTCCAGGACTCCCCGGTCTCGACCCTTCGTCTCTTGTTCGTCGGTAGCCCTTGCGATTCTAGCGCCGCCGGGTGACGTGGAGTCTCGGCCGGACCCCGCGTTAGTCAAGTCGCCTCCCGCCTCGCTCTTCATCGGAGAGACTCGCGGCCTTTACTAGGCGTGCGCTGGCGGCGAATCAGCTAGGCTGATGGGGCGGCATGATCGGGGGTTTCTTGGCAACTACAGCTCGCCCGGTGCCCAGCAGTGGTACGCGGCCTGGCACTCTGGCAGAAGGGCAGACGACGGGAAGCCAGGCGCCCGCCCGAACGGGTCTGGTGCGGTGGGCAAGTGGGTGAGGACATGTGGGTGGGCGGGCGAGTGGCCGGGAGACGCACGCTGTCGCGTATCCTTGGCTCTCCGCTCCGAGGCAAATGCGCAGCACAGAGCTCCCGACTAGCGCGACGGATGCCACCACACCACTCCGTCGCAGATGACGGCTGGGAATCAGTGCATTCTTGCAAACTGGGAACAGATCGGGCGCGCGAGAGCCGTCAGCGTCACCTTCCCTGCCTGCCGGCGCTGGCGATGTGGCTGGAGAGAGGCGCAACAGACAGCGCGCCATGGCGTCTGATGCTAGTGGCTTGTGTGAGGAAGGAGCTTCTGCCATCTCGGCCTGCCCGACCAAGACCTGCGCCAACCCCCGCCAATTGCCAATGCGACCCGGTTTTCTGGCAAGCGCAGCGTGCCATCAGAAATAGAAGCGAGTGCCGTCATCGTCGATGACGCAGCCAGACCTGGGGCAGGCCCGGGGGAGAGACGATGGGAGGAGTCTTCTCTGTTCCCTCTCCCCTTTTGGCCCTACCCTCCCCTCTGTCCCGGCTGCTGGTCATGTAATCAATCAATCAATCGATTGTCCTCGTCACCGTTGTTTTACACAGCAGCAAACAAACGGAGTTGCTGCTACAGGGCCCCCGAGCTAAGGGATCATCCGTCCGCCAGCCGCCTTTTTTTTTCCCGAGTTGCTTCAATTCCGCAACCCCTCCTTTCGCTGGTAGGTGCCTTCCGCATCGGCGCATCGCGACTTCTTCTCTCCATCGGGCGGGCCCATCATCGCTGTTGCAGCGAACTCGGCGTGCGCCGGTCTTGACTCGGCAGGTTTTGACAGCAATGGCGAGACCGAGGGCTGGCGACAGCATCCAACTGGGCAAACACTAAAATAACACCTCCTCGGCTCTAGGTAGCATTTTAGCCCGTTTCCCATTGTTCACTTCCCGGCCGAACTGCGAAACGCCAGCTTCCGGCACCCTGCACGACAAAAAGGCAAGACGCCCTCTGCACCCGTGGCTGGTGTTTGCTGTGGACTATAGGTTTTTTTCTTCTTCTTTTTTTCGTCCTGTCCAACTCACCCCTTGGGCCAGCAGCAGTCAACTCCGGGCTGCCCACAGGGCCACCGCGGCTAGCTGTCTCGGCTGCTGCTACAGGGAGAGACAAGGTATGTGAAAACGATTGATTCTGTTCTGCGTTCGGCCAGGTCCAATGTCTCCCACACTCCCCCCTTCTGCACACGCCTCGCATTGCACTCCACATTCCACCACCCATCCCAGGCAATCGCATCCGGGCAGGCGACATCTAAAAAAGAAAGGAGGAACCAAGGGGGCACAAGCGTCGGCACGCCCGCTGACCTTAATCCCCAAACCCCAAACCCCAAACCCAACGCCCGGCGCTCGGTTGGCGTGCTACTATGTTTTGTCCAAATCCAGGCCCGGTCCTTTCTAGCCCAGAGGCAGCTGGAATCTCCCCATTTCTGCCTCTTGTGCCTCTTCTGCTACCATCTCTCCTTTCTTTTTTATTTCGCCAGTCAACACACCGCAGCCGCGTCCTAGTCGCTACTTTGGGCCGGTGCCTCTGCGTTGGCAAAGTGGCGTGGCCCCATGCCCCTTTCCCTTTCCCTTTTCCCTATTCAACATGGCCTCCCATCCTGACCGCCTGCCTCCCTGTCGCCTGCCCGTCCTATTACTCGCCCTGTCTGGGAAGCCCGTGATAATACACCCGTAACGCCCCCCTCCCCTCCAGTAATATCTGCTGGGTTTTATGAATCAGTCACCCGCAGGGACTGCACTTGGACTGGCCGAGCCACTAACTGTCCGTCCGTGTGTCCCTTCTCTCTCTGTCCCCTCCCATCCTGGCACTGGCCCCTTCGCCGTCGCCTTCCTCGCCTTGAATTGCCGTCCCCTCCCTTCCATCGGGCTGCACTGTCCCCGTCCCGTCCGTACCACATGCCCTGTCCTCCACACACCCCCCAGCCTGCACGCCCGGCTCGCCTCCCCGCACAAAGCCCGCCTCGCTCCCTTTCTTTGTTCCTCGCCCTGCCGCTTCCAGTGTGTGCTCATCAGGTCTACGCCGTGCTCCACTCGGCCGGTCGCGGCCTGCTGCCCTCCGCAACATCACCCACATATCCCTACCGCCTAAAATACCCTTCTATCCTATGCCTCGCCGCGATATCTAAGCATCTAAGGATATCCTCACCTCCCCGCCGCCAGCGCATCACACCATCCCTCCTACCTGTACCCTGCGCCCTGCGCAAGGTCAAGGCATAACGTGACGGCCATCCCCCACAACCTGCAGCCAAACTACTCTGTTTTAACCCTGTTTTACCTTTTTGCATCTTGTCTTCCCCCACAATATCATATCTTTAATTCTCCTCTCGCCCCAAGCCGAGGACCAACCGACCACGCCCCGTCTCCCTCTTCTTCTGTTACATTTGCCCAAAACATATGGTGCAGGCCGATTATGCCTAGGAGCAACTGACGGCTTCAGCCCACGTCGTACCCGAAGCCAGCTCACACCAGCAGACGTTGGAGTGTCTTGTGCCGCACTGGTGTCCTTGCAGTCGTCCAGTGTCTTCTAACGCCGCTCGAACGCCTCACCATGTCTGCAGACGGAGGAGATCAGTTACAAAGCGCCCGGCTCCCTCAGCCACCGCCGCCGCGCCAACATCACCACCGCTCGAGGGCAGAGCCTTACTGCCACTCGGCCCACGGCACGCTGTACTTCAACCCCAGGGGCCGCAGCGACCGCCGTTCACTCCAGGCTGCGCCAGCCACCTTCCCGAACCCGCTGATCGGGCCGAGGCCAAGGAGGCCACATTCGATCCACATCGTCTCGTACCCGGCCGGGTTCATCCCCCGCGATCTTCGGCAGGAACTGGGCGACCCATCGTCGGGAGAGGGGACGGCGAACGGCAGGAGGAGAAGCAGCAAGCAGAAGAACAGTGGTGGTAACAAGAGGAGGAAGGAAGAGAGTCGGAGCAGTCAGGACCCGGGGAATCAAGGAGGAAAGGCCAGCAGAGTACTCCAGAAGATACTCTGCGCCTTTGGTAGTGGATCCAGGACAGCACCAGACTACCAACTCCCATCGACACCGACACCGGCACCAGCACCGGCACCGGTACCAGAACCACGAGAGGCAGCACCCAGAGTTACGGTCCAGCCGAGGTCGCGCCCAGTGAGCCTGCTAAGCATCGGCAGGAGGCTTTCGAGGCTCGGGGATCTTCCCGAGGAGCAGGCCTGCGCAAACATGGTCGAGCACATGGTCCGCCTACCCCCTACTGGCAGTATGGCGTCCCCAACTTCGGCCACGACCAGTTATAGGAGCAGCATATTGCCGCATCGGTCGGCAAAGAGCGCCGTTATAGGCTCTGCAGTGACAGAGATCCCGTCCAAGCCGGTGGCGTCGGGCAGCGGGCTCAGCTGCTCCATCGTGCTAGCGGAGCCCAACGTGTTTCTGTCGGGCTTCGAGCACGACGGCCACGCCCGCGAGAACGTACACAGCGGTACGGCGCTGCTGCGCGGCAAGCTCGTGCTCAACGTATCCAAGAACGTCAAGCTCAAGTCGGTCACGCTCAAGCTCGTCGGACGCGCCAGGACCGAGTGGCCCGAGGGCATCCCACCTCTGAAGGTGGACCTGTTTGAGGAGCAGTCGCTGCGCACGCAGGGCCTGACCTTCTTCCACGCCATGCACAACAGCTGGGAGACCGAGTTCGGGAACCAGTGCGTCTTTACGCCCAAGCAGGCCGCCACCAACGGCAGGCGGCCTAGCTCGTCACACGGGCTGGGCCGGCTGTCGCCCACGGGGTCCAATATGTCGGTCAATACGCTTATGCGCAGCGGCCTCGGCACCCAGGCCCGCCAGTCGACGGGGCTGACGGCAAAGGAGCGCAAGAGGCTGTCGCTGCAGTCGGTGCAGTCGCGCAGCTTCGGCAAGGGGGAGTCGCCGGCGCTGCCCAGCCAGGCGCAGCTCAAGGGCTACAAGGTTTTCACGCCCGGCACGTACCAGTACTCGTTCGAGCTGCCCATCGACCACCACCAGCTCGAGACGACGCGGCTGCAGTACGGGTCGGTGCGGTGGCAGCTCGAGACGGTGGTGGAGCGGGCGGGCGCGTTCCGACCCAATCTCCACGGCGTGCGCGACGTCAGTATCGTGCGCGTGCCCGACCAGCTGTCGCTCGAGATGAGCGAACCCATCTCGATTGCGCGCCAGTGGGAGGACCAGCTGCACTACGACATTATGATCTCGGGCAAATCGTTCCCCATCGGCACCCGCATCCCCATCGCCTTCAAGCTCACGCCGCTGGCCAAGGTGCAGGTGCACAAGATTAAGATATTTGTGACCGAGTCCATCGAGTATTGGACCAGCGATCGTCGCGTCACGCGCAAGGACCAGGGCCGCAAGATGTTGCTACTCGAGAGGACGGCCGGCAAGCCACTCGACACAAAGGCCTACGAGGGCAGCGAGGTGCGCGTGCTGCGCGGCGGCGAGCTGACGCCCGACGAGCGGCAGTGCGCGCGCGCGGCCGCGGCCTGCAGACGCCACACCGAGGCGCAAAGAGCCCAGGCTCACCTTGCTGGCGCCTGCGTCGTCGAGCCGCTCCCGGAACCGACCGAGAACCTGCTGGGCGACCTGGACCTAGGTCTCGAGTCGTACTGGGCGGCAACCGAGATGGAGATGAACGTGCAGCTGCCGACGTGCGAGATGATGGCGCGCGACAAGTCCAAGCGGCTGAACCCGGACTGCAGCTGGAAGAATGTCAACGTCTTCCACTGGATCAAGGTATGGTTTTCTTTTGGACCCGTCCTAGCCTCTATGGCTCACCACACTAACATGCACACAGATCGTCATGCGCATCTCCCGCCTCGACCCCGACGACCCGGCCGGTCAGCGCCGCCGCCACTTCGAGATCAGCATCGACTCGCCGTTTACAGTCCTCAACTGCCGTGCCACTCAGGCCAACACGTCGCTGCCCCAGTACACGGGCCTGGACATGCCCATGTACCGCCAGACCACCACTTGCGGCTGCCCCGACTCGGCCGTCATCGCCACAGACCCCAGCCCCTGCAGCTCCACAGGAACGCTGCCTGTCGTCGAGATCAACCCCGCCGCCGCCGCCGCTGCCATGCCCGCCACCCCGCCCGCCGCCCACCTGCCCACGGGAACCGCGACACCTCCACCCTCACTGCGGCCTGGGACCAGCAGTACCACTAGCACTGCGACCGGCGGCCTGCGCGGAGTGGCTGCGACACAGGCCCCCAACCCGCTGCAGCGCGTCCGAAACCAGGACGTGGGCGTGGCACCGCCTAGACCGATTCACCTAATACGCGTGCCCTCTTATAACCCGCCGCCCTTCGACGCCGAAGAGCCGCCACCGCCGCACGCGACCACCCTGATGACACCGCCGCCGAACTACGACCTGATTGTCGGCACGCCCAGCGTCGACGGGCTGGCCGACTACTTTGCGCGCCTGGCCGAACACGACGACACGTCGGGCCTGGCAAACACGAGGGCCGACACGGATAGCACCGACGACGACGACGAAGACGAGGAGCTCGACGCGCACACACCCGCAAGACTGACGGACCGGTCTGGCAGGGTCAACGTACCGAACCCACGCACGCCGGGCGGCAGGAACGTGCCTAGCCGCAGCTTCGATATTCAGCGGCCCGTTATGCACCTCTCCATGGCGGGCGTAGCCAGGCGAGGCGAGCAGATGGTGTGAGCTGGGTGTTTTTTTGGATACTAGTTTTTGGACACGCGTCATTTTGGACAACTTGAGAAGCCCGGATTTGGCTCCCACGTGGGAGAAATCTGCGGATATCATGTGTCTTGGGCCTATATCAAACGTTGCGGGGACGGATGTGTTTTCATTTACCCTTCGCATTTTCGCCCTTTTTTTTCCCTTTCTGGTTAGGGTGAACCCCTCCACAGACCTCGAGCCTCGACCGCCCTCCCTCCAAACACCACGACAGGAAGGGGAGGATACGCATACATACACGCGACCACACACACCTACACAGACGGCGCAACATACATAAGCATTGCCATCATTTCCAAGCATTAATCTTTATTGGAGAAGAGATACCATTAGGAAGTTATACCATTGTGCTACTCGACTGCCATAATGGCCGGTGGCGGGAGGGGCGGGCATCTTTCTTTGCATTTGTTTTTTCTTGAATGGAGTCCAAGGAAGTCATACTTTTGTATATATTCGAATGGTGGAGTAGGGCATGGCATGAATTGAATCAGACATTTCTGGCATTGATATAATTTTGTGTCGTCTCCATCCTTTGCGTATGGTGGCATTTGGAGAAGGCGAGGGCTGTGATCCCAAGCCATGTGTCACGTCCCAAGCCTCCCGGGCCGGTTTGGACACCATGGGTCTTGGCGAGACACGGCAGGTGGGTCGCAGCTGCCGTCGCTGGTTTATTCACTGTAGCACCTGGCAACGGAGACATGACGTGGACAGGTGATTTGCACCGGAAGAAAGAAAAAAAGGCTCATCAAGCATCATCATTTATTGCTTTTTCTCTTGGGTACACATTATATTACGCAACACTCGACAGCCTCCTAAATGCGGCTGTTGGCGCTGTGGGCGCACGTGTGCTGGTGCTCGGCGTGGGCCTGGATGTTGGCCCAGCGCTGGAACTCGCGGCGGACCGAGGCCGCGTCGGAGCGCTTGGCAGGCGTCGTCTTGGACCGCGGCGGCACGGCGCTCAGGTCCAGGGCCAGCGCGGCGGCGGCGCGGGCGGCCGCCTTGGCGTTGATGGTCAGGGCGTCCCAGTCGATGTTGTTGAGGTCGTCGCAGGCCAGGTGGTAGCACGGGTCCGTGGGCGCGCCGGCGCCCGTGAAGATGCCCGAGCTGGGGATGCCGCGGTTCAGGAACCCGACGTAGTCGGAGCTGGTACCAAAGGCGCCCCACTCGGCCGGCTTGCCCTTGGACGAGATGTAGTCGACCAGCATCTGGCCGCCCACCCGGCCGCCCGGGTTCGCGTCCTCGTACACGACGAACTCGGGGAAGGGCGAGCCGATCATGTCGTAGTTGAAGTAGAAGCGGATCTTGTCCGCCTCCTCCTCGGACAGCTGCGACGGGCTGGTGTAGTGCAGCGACCCGATCAGTCCGGCCTCTTCGGCGCCCCACCAGATGAAGCGCACCTTGTTCTTGAAACCGCTGTACTTCTTAAACGAGCCCATGATTTCGAGTAGCGCCGTCGAGCCGCTGCCGTCGTCGTTGATGCCCGGGCCGGCCTGGACGCCATCGAGGTGGGCGCCCAGGACCACCACGTTGTTGGGGTCGCCTTCCTTGGTCTCGGCCACAATGTTCCACGACTCGCGCGTCTCAAAGACCGAGTCGACCAGGACAGTCACCGTCAGCGCCTCGCCCGCAGCCAGGCGCGCCTTCCAGGCCACGCCGTTCTCGAGCGAGGTGGTCGCCACCGGCACCAGCAGGCCGATGTTCTCAGCGCCCAGCGTGGCCGAGCTGACGGGCGTGCCGGGGTTCTGGTTGTACAGCACCACGGCGAGGGCGCCGTGGGCCTTGGCTAGCTTAAGCTTGTCCGAGATGGCACACGTGCCGCGCTTAACGAGGGCGATCTTGCCCGTGGCGTCGATACCCTGCCAGTCCGAGGCCAGGCAGCCCGAGCCCGTGGCGTCGTTGACGGGCGTGTCGATGAGCTGGGCCGTGATGCCGCCGGCGGGCGTGGGGTGGTTGTAGAGCAGCGTGATGACATAGGCGGCCTCACCGTCCGGGCCCGTGAGCTTGATCTCCTTGGTCTGCTCAAAGGTGTGGTTGAAGTACTGCTTGTACGTGTCCATCTGCTTGTGGAACCGGCCTTGGGCGCGCTCGAGCACGTAGTCGGACGACTTCTCGTAGCCGGGCAGGCCAAAGGCGCGGTTGCCGCCGTTCTCACGCGCGATCTTGTTGAAGTGCCACAGGTTATTGCGGAGCCTGGAAAGTCTGTTAGCCTTGTGCGGCGGGACGAGGCACAGTGGCAATCGGGACAGGCAACCTACTCGCTGGTCTTGATGTCCGCCTCGACCTTGTCCAGCGTCAGGGGCTCGTTGGCCAGGACGCCGAGGGCGCAGAGCCCGGCGGAGAGGAGGGAGGCCGTCTTCATGGTGGGCAGTTGGACACGCGGGTGCGTGCTTTGTCGACAGTAAAGTGGACAAAGGTGTGCCTCTGGGGAGCGGATGAAGAGAGAGGGGAGAGGGCGGCGATCTGGCTCGTCGGGGCGGGCGACGGCGCCAACTTATACAAACCAGCCGGAGCTCATGCCGCGCCAGATTCTTGGGGCCAACAGCTTCGCCGCCTCTTCTTGGCGCCATTGAGGGCCCAGGATCCAGTCGCGCCATCGCCCCTCCCGGTCGCCATGCGTCTTGCCCTCATGTCGTGATACGATACGCCCGCCGCCTGTAGCCGCGAGCCGAGGATGCGGAGAACGAGGGGCCATAGAATGTCGGCGCACCCCCCGCCACTGCGTCCCCCGCAATGCCAGGGGGCCAAGGTTACCAGGGGCCCAAGGGGAAATGATGAATGGGGTGGAACTGAGTGTCACTATCAGTTGGCGTGGTAGACTCGTTTTTTTCCCTTCCCAGCCACGGCCCAGATTGGAAGCTCATGTCGTGCGCGGTCAAGGAAACGGCAGGCGGGCCACGACGGCGGCAGGAGCAGTCGGGTCAGCTCCAGCCCTGGCTGTCCAATCGCTGTAGCCGCAGAGTCGGGGCTCCGGCTTGGCACCTTCCTGATCGAGAACCGATATACACCTCGCAAATGGCGCCAAGATGCCGCGGCCCACCAGCTTTGCACCTGCCTTGTGCGTCCAAGGCTGTCTCGGCTGCTTGCCCGAGCTGAAGCCGGGTTGCAACATAACCATTCACATCCAAGCAGGAACAGAAGACAGACCAACGCAACAAGAAAAATGACTCCATCTCGTCGTTTGTATCGTAGCAAATCTGGTTAGGTACACGGTTTTGTTTTTCAACCCGACGCCCCCTAAATCAAATCAAGGCCCCTCATATCCAGTTACCCGCATGGTATCAACAAGTACATGGTCGTAGTTATCCCAGATATCCAAGAAGAGAAGAAAAAAAACAAGCTCAGCCATGCTCAATCGCTGGCAACCACCGACATCTCGGCCCGCCGCCGCATATGGTTGGCGTGCTGCTCAAGACAGCTGCCCATCAGCCGCGTGATGGGCCAGGCCCCGGACCTGCCCAGCATGTGCGCCGCCACTCGTAAAATCTTGGCTGCGTAACCCCCTTGCTCCGCCGCTAGGGTGCCGCCGTCGAGGGTTATCTTGATCTCGGCGCTATCCACCACGTCCTGCACCTTCACCAACAGCTTGACGTCCTCCTCCTCGAGCAGCATGATGGCCGGGACCTGGCCCAGCTCCACCTCGTCCTTGCCCAGCACCCCCAGGTACCGGCCCACCCGGTCCTGCAGCGTCGCCACCCACTCGGCGAGCACCTGCGAGCAGTCGAACGCGCACATGGCCGACTGCAGTGGCAGCTCGCGGCTAAAGTCGGCAAACGTCACCCCGAGCCGGTCCGACATGGCCAGCGAGTCAGCCGCGAAAAAGGCTGCCCGCCTCAGGTGTTTCTCCCGCCGCGACGTTGCCCGTCCGGCCGCCGCGAGACCCGACGCCGACGCCGACGACATGGAGCCCGTTGTGCTGTGAGTCTGTGCCGCCTGCGGCTGCGGTTGCCCGGGGCCTGTTGCCGAGGGCGTCTTGACTGCGCCAAAGTCTGGCGAGGACGACTGGGTCGGCGGGGAATCTATAAATACGGAGCTGCCGGCACCCGAAGTCTCGGACCTATCCGTTATTGTCGACTGTGTGGGCGAGTGCTGTGCGTGCTGCACAATCTCCTCGCCGCGAGAGAGCTCGCGCGCCAGCCCGTCCCAGTCCCGCTGCCAGAACTTCTCCTTGGTGACCGACATGTTGACAAACAGGCGCACGTAGGCAAGGTCCAGGAGCGGGATCGAGTCGGCCGAGAGCGGGCCCAGGCCAAACGGGTTTGGTCGCTCGAGGCTGTGCCGCGGGTTGCTAGCCCAGGCCGCCTGCCACGCCCTCAGCGCCGGCTCGATGCGCCGGTGCATCAGCTCCGTCTCCTCGTTTGTCCATGTCCTGTTCCGGTGCCTCTGCCTCGTCTCCCAGATGTAGTTGTGCAACGCGTTTATCAGCACCAGGCAGCCAAAAGTGCTGGGCTTCAGGTCGCTGCTGGGGAGGTCGGCCGGGTTGATGGACGAGCCAAAGGGCTGGTGGGCGCCACTGCTGCTGGTGCTGGTGCTGCTGCTTGGCCCCGCCGGCGCGGGCTGCTGCTGCCTCTCGCCGGCGCACAAGAGATCCCGAAGGGCCTGGTGGAACGTCATACGGTTGTGATTTGCCGCCGCTACCCCTCCCTTGGCATTGAACTCGGCCGCGTTCTCGGCTGCGAAGAACTCCTCGTCACAGGGCAGGTCCAGCCCAATCTCCGAGTTCGTTAGGGCCGGCATGTGGTTGTACGCTGACACCACCATGCTAGACAGGATGAAGATGACATATAGCGTGCGTTTCCGCTCCTCCATCTCCTTCCACCTGAGCCATTCAGCTTGCTGCTCGGCCTCGGATGCCTGCTGCTGCTGCCGCTGCTGTTGTTGTTGCCGCTGTCCTTCCCCACTCCAGGGACCTTCGATCCCATCCATGCCCTCATCCCCGCTGCGCTGCCGCGGCTCCACCCTCACTGGCCTGAGAAGCTGCGCTCCACTGGCGAGGCTGACTAGTGTCGCCGAGTGTGTGTGAGCAATCTCGGCGGCGCGCTTATCCGCGCAATTGTGCCCGTATATATTATTTAGCAGCATCGCTTGCGCCAGCCAAAGCGGCGTTTCCCCCCGCCCGTCGGCTGGGGGCGCCCTTGTGTCGGCCGTCGACGCGCGCCTGAAGCTCGCCAGGCCGACTGTCGCCTTGCGCTTTTCCTCTAGGTAGAGCCCGATCATCTTCTTGGCCATCTCGAAAAGGTGAGCCGACTGTTCGCACTCCATCTCGTACAGGGCCCCGATTGCCGCCATGGACAGGATCAGGCAGCCGGCCCCGGGAACGGCGCCTCCACCCAGTCCGCCGACCAGGTTCGCGGGCAGCTCGAAGGAGAGGGTGGGGACGTGCAGGAACGGGAGGTGGGGGTGGAAGTAGCGCAGGTACGCGGCCACGTACCGCTGCATGTCTTGGGTGCTCGGGAGCTGCTTGTCGACCGCCGCTGCCGTCGAGGCCGAGCCGTCCTGGAGCTGCGTTGCCGCGGCCCCGGGCGAAAATCGGCGTCCGGTGAGGAGGGAGTGCTGCGACGTCCCGCAGGACAGTGCACCTAGGATGGCGTGTCTTGTTGAATCAGTGATAGTCGCGATGGGTGAGGTGCCATGATTGTTACTACCATTGATCGACGAGGGCGTCTCGGGCCCGGCACCGTAGCCGCCCATGGCCGCGTGATTCATGTTGGGACCACCCATGCCGGACAGGACCGAGGGACTGATCGAGTTCAGCGATGGCGGGGGCGTCGATAGGTATGGCTCGATCATGCCCTTCTGGTGCGGCGGTTGCGGCGATAATGGCGTGCCGTTGAGCAGGTCCGGGAAGAAGCCGCCCGTCATGTCGATGCCGAAGGGGTGCGCCATTTGTGGAGGGCCCATGATAGCGGTGGGCTGGAAGAAGGTGGTGGATGGCGCAACGGTGGTAACAGCGGGGTGGTTGCTGGAGCCGTCGAGCATGACGTCGCTGATGCCGCTCTGGCTGGCCGTGCTGATGGCCGAGGGAGAAGAGCCGTCGACGGCGTGCTCGGGGGCGTTGTTGAACGACATCTGGTGCTCGAAGCCCGTCAGCCAGTCGAAGGTCTCGTCCATCTGGTGCGCCGAGGCCATGTCGGCCATGCCGCCGTGGGCGAAGGGCGAGGTGGGATCGATGGCCATGGAGTGTGGAGAGTCGCTGTAGTGCAGCGCATTGGGGTTGATGGTGGAGCCAGAGCCGAAGAGCAGGCCCTCAAAATCGAACTCGTTGGTGTAGGCGGCGATGGGAGGGGCGGTGCGCAGCCCGTTGGCAAAGGGGTCGAAGCTGCCAATGGCGTGCGTCTCTAGCTTTGGGAGGCCGTGGGCCATGCCGCGCTGGCCCATGGCCGCCGCCATGCCCGCGTACGAGTGCTCTATGTGCTGCTGCATGGGCAGGCCGACCAGGCTGGGGTGGCGGCTGTGGCCGTGCGGGTGACCCGAGTTCATGCGCGCGACGTTGGCAGTGGCGGCCGCCATCATGGATATGTGCGCGCCGTCGACATGGCTGATGGTGTTGGCTCTGGGGCGCATCGTCGTGGGGCCGCCGCCCACGCCCGAGACGGTGCTGCTGGCGATGCTGTTCTTGCGCGCGCGGCTGCCCGGGGGCACGGCGCCGCTGGCGCTCTCCCTGCGGTTCCGAGGGCGCGACGAGGGCGTTGTCGTCTGGTGAAGCTTCTGCTGGTGGCGCAGCAGCAGATCCCTGCGAGCGAAACATCGTGTACACTCGGGGCACTGGAACGGCTTCTCCTTGGTATGTGACCTTTCGTGGCGCTTGAGGTGCTCCAGCCGGGCGAACGAGCGCTGGCATGTTCCGCAGACGTGTGGCCGGGGCTTGTCCGTCTTGGGTGGAGGGAAGTTGTTGGCCGGCGGCGCAGTTTTTGTGTTGACCGTAATCGAGGAAGCTGTGCCTAGCAGGAAAGCGCAGTGGTTAGCTCAGGGCTCATCGAGTGTCGACAACATGTATCAGGCGTGTGCATCAATGGCCGAAGCCGGGCAGGAGGTGACAGTAAGGGTGGGAGCAGCGGCAGCGGGAGCGGCGGTATCCATTCGGCATGCCCTAGGTCCGCAAGTCCAATGTGCGTATAAGCCAGTGATGCCTACCAGAATCCTCGCCGCCCTCGCTCACAGCTGGCACAGCGGGTGCGCCAGGGATCTCGGGGTATGCTTCTGTTTTTACGATATCGGCCATGACGGCTTCCGTGGTCGCCGGAGCGCCGGATTCTGGGACAGTCTCCATGGTCGTCGTCGCCTCACGCTAGCGACAGATCGGCGGGCAGGACAGAGCCTTGCTTGCTTCCCCCCGCAATGCTTCTAGCACCCAAGGGCCGGACAAGATACAGCTAGCAGAGCTCGACGGCAGTGGAAACGCAGGTCGTCGGCGGTTTGGTCAATGCTTGGGATGCAGTCCGGGAACCGTCCAAAAAAGCAGAGGTGCACTCGGCGGTTGGAGAAGTCGGTGCGCTGCAGCAAACTTTGGGAGTCTGGCGGTTGAAGGGGTTCGAGCGATGGCTGCGCAAGGGCCACGGGTGAGAAGGAAAGCTGCAGGCAGGCTGGCCGGGCGGCAGGCTGTGTCTACTCGGTATTGGCTGGAGCTGCGGGAGCTACAAGTCGAGGGCGACACAGTGACAACGAGGGGTGCCGGCGAGGGGAGCAGGAGTCGGAATTGGAGGATGAGGCTGGCGGCAGCATGCTCTTGGAGTCTGGGCGGGAGTGATTAGCAGGCTGGCGACAAGTCTCGACAAGTTTCTGCCTGGTCCTCGACAAGAAAAAAAGCTATCCAGACCGAGCTCTCTTGTGAGAAAAGGGCGAGGCGAGGTCTTGGTTGTGTGGCGGTAGTGGGAGGAGCGAGGTACAAACGGCGAGGTGAATGGGGCACGGGAATGGGGGAGCTGCTGCTGGTGGGGGGGGCAATTGGGCCCGAGACTGGCTGGAACGTGCAGTGGGCTTGCTCGCAGTGGGGCTCCCGTGCTGTGTGGGCCGTGCTCGGCTCCACTGGTCCCACTGGGGTTGTCCCCTGCCCTGGCGCCTGCCTGCCTGCTTGCTGCCTGCCTGCCTGCCTGCCTGGTGCGTGCCTTTCTGCCTCTGATCAGTGTGGACTTGCGGAGGCGAAATTGACAGGGCCGCCGACACAGTGTGAAGACAAAATGGCGTTGCATCCAGCGTATCCGCTGCCAGGGAACCTCGCAGGGAACCTCGCAGGGGACAACCATGGCCGCCGCGCAGGGGACCTGGAGCCCAGCCTAGTCCGCAATGGGCGTAGCCTCAGGACCAGGACATGTGCAGGGGTCGTCATGCGCAAGCGAGCGAGAGAGCACGACCGGGGATTTGGCAGGGAAGACGGCTTACGAGCGTGCCAGCCTGGGCAAGATCCGAAACCCCATCGCGGAAATGTCTGGGAGTCCGCTGTGCAATCTGCGTGGTGCCGCTAATGCTAGCCATAGCAGCGACGATGCAAAAGTATAATGCTCAGGGCCGCTAAAACATTAAATCTCAACTAGCACCGCCACCTGCTCGATGGGGACATGTCCCGTCTACGTGCTCGCCGCCAAACGTCATTTTTGCTGAAGGGTATCGGCCGGCAAGCCAAGCCAACGGCTTTCGTTTCGGCAGGCGGAGCCACTAGCAGCCGAGCTGCTACTGCCTGTGTGTGCCAGATCAGGGGGGG